AGGTCCAGTCGTGGCCGACTCTGGGGTTGCAGCGCTCATCTCGCTTTATTGGCCGAGGGAGCCAGCGTACAGCTTCCGGGTCATGTGGCTAGCATGACTAAGCCGCTTCTGGCGAACCAAAGCAGCGCATGGAAACCGGAGCGGTACCAATTTATCTACTTGCATTTTTGATGTGCTTTTGAACTGCTAGGTTGGCAGGAGCAGGGACTGAGCAACGGGAGCTCACCCCATCGCGGGGATTCGAACTACCGACCTTCTGATCAGCAAGTCCTAGGCTCTGTGGTTTAACCCACAGCGCCACCCGCATCCCGTAATGTCACCTTAAAGGCTAGACAAGGGCATAAAATGCTAGAACTGAACCCTTTGATATGGAAACTCAGAGCAGGAAAAGAGGCAATCAGCACATTTATTTTATGTCCTAAAACACAAAGGTGTGTGCAGACAGTTGCCCAAAATATGGAGAGCATGGTGTCACAAGACATCGGAAGAAAGGAGGGAGGGAGGAAGGAAGAAAATATCAAAACCTCAGGAACAGTGATGTTTGACTATCAGGTCAATTTATTGCTCCCGGAGATGCAAAGAGCAAAACCCATAATAAAAGCTGGAAATCCCATCATCAACAGAATATAAACTAAGCTAGTGGCTTGTGAAGAAGAACAGATTTTTTTTATTTTTTATTTGTCAGAAGATTAGAAAAAGAAAAGTGGGGCACGGTTACCATGGCCTATGATTTGGGCATCCTTTGAAGAACGTGCTTTCAGTTGCTGTTTCATGAGCAAAAAAAAACAAAACCCTGGACATACATTTGAATTGAAACCACAGAGAAGACACAGTGGGGGACTGAGTATAAAGGCATTCCACAGTGGAAAGCGTTTCAGTGGTCGTTTCAGTAAACAGGTACTTTCAGAAGGTGGGAAGAAACAAAGTTGAAAAACGCAGAGATTTATGAGCTTGCTCGCTACAAACTCAGACTGTGTACACAGAAATATTTTTCTGTATTTTGCAAACCGAAGATTTCTACCTGTGTTCTTTTTGTGGCGGCATGGGATAAGGCATGAATCTGACTTTTGGAGTTTTGTAAGTAAAACATTTAAACTTCGTAATGTTGTGGTCTGTTCAGTGCTAGAAGGGCAGAGAGAGGAAGTGCTGCAAGCAGACTAGAATGGGAAACTTAAAAGGTCCAACAGCCTATTATTCCCACACTTCACTGTGCTGCATGATTCTGTGATTTTAAACTGCTGGGGAGGCTGCTTAATCCCACACTTTGGATCTAGGGATCTAGCCAATTCTTTTATTAATTACCCCACACAGGTGATCTATTCCCACCTCTGCCTGGAACTCTAGAAAGCTGCTGCCAGTCAGTGTAGACAATACTGAGGTAGGTTGACCTATGCTTTGACTCATTATATGGCAGTTTCCTATGAGACATCTATTCATTTATGGTAACAAGGTGTTTCTGAGCCGAGATCTTGTTTGACCTATGATAAGATCTAACAATGTGACCATATTGTGAGCTGAAACAAAGAGGATCATCTGCTTGCTGTAATCAATTGACCTATATAGTGTGCTGCGAAAGGGAAGCTTCTGCTAGTTCATTGCTTTCTGACTCCTCCTTGATGTTGCCACTTAAGACCTTACATTTGAGATCTTCTAGCAATTTTAAGTTGTCGAGAACTTGCTGTTGGTTTTACCTTGGCTCTTGCAGTTGCAAGATTGTGTTCTTATTCTTCACACTAATCCTTTTATGGATCGTGCTTTGACAAATGTCCAATAATTTATGCAGAGTTAGCATAATCCTCCCTCTCTGTCCCTTTTGTTGATGCATGACAGCTTTGTGACTTATTTGCTTTTCTGGGCTTTTTATGATGAACTCAGAGGGGCTTATGTCCTGGTAGGCATACATACTATTGCATGGTAAATGTCATTTAAGACTAGGGATTAAGATTACAGTAAACCTGCAATTCACTCAGGAGTTATGTTCTGGGGACTGCGCGTAAAGCCAAAATCGCATATAGTCAAAACCCATTGGGTGCAATGGTGGATGGGAATATCAAAGTCATTTTGATTGGGAAGGATTGTGTTCATGAACACTTTTACTGTGTAAATAATGTTGTCTTGTCTTTTCCTCTTTTGATTTTTTTTTTACTTTGTACAGTATATTTGTTATTTATTTATCTTTTTCTTTTTCTCTTTTTTGTTCATTTAGAAATTTTCTATTCACTACATAATTTTCTTTTTCTTCGTATGTAAAGAGATAGCATATCTCTTCGTTTGTATAGGTATGTAAAATTTCAATCAATCAATAATTTAAAATTCAATCAATCAATAATTTAAAATTCAATCAATCAATAATTTAAAATTAAAAAGACATTTTTCCTGTAACTCGGCCCCCTTTCCACTCCCTTTTATTTTATTTTTTGCCATGAGTGTAAAGCTTAATGTGCACAAGCTAAATGTGCACAAGTTACTGTATTTCAGACGCCACTGGTATGTTATAGATGTTTCAGTTAACCCTTTCAGTGTGCATACCAGGCTTCATCAATCTAATATCCTCAAACTGTTTTGGACTACAACCCCCATCAGCCCCAACCAGCACACCTGTAATCCAAAACAGCTGGAGAGCACCAGGTTGATGAAGCCTGTTATAGCCTTGCAGAACTTCAATTGCTTTCATGTGTGCAAATTTTCTGTAGAAACAATTTGGAGTTTATTCCAATTTCTGCCCCAGTGTCCCTGTACCCTTCTGGATCAGCTTACAAAACATTTTGATTTCATCATTTCTATAAGGATTTTTTTCTCTCTAAGGCACCCACTCCAATAACATGTCATTCCTTCATGTGTATCAACTGCTGTAAAAGAGGGATAAAAAGGTAAAGGGACCCCTGACCATTAGGTCCAGTCGTGGCCAACTCTGGGGTTGCAGTGCTCATCTCGCTTTATTGGCCGAGGGAGCCGGCGTACAGCTTCCGGGTCATGTCGCCAGCATGACTAAGCCGCTTCTGGCGAACCAGAGCAGCGCATGGAAAAGGCATTTATCTTCCTGCCGGAGTGGTACCTATTTATCTACTTGCACTTTGAAGTGCTTTTGAGCTGCTAGGTTGGCAGGAGCAGGGCTTGAACAACGGGAGCTCACCCCGTCACAGGGATTCGAACCGCCGACCTTCTGATTGGCAAGTCCTAGGCTCTGTGGTTTAACTCACAATGCCACCCGTGTCCCTTAAAAGAGGGATAAGGGGGGTATTAAAGGCAGGAGAAAAAAAAGAGCTGAGAAAAGTCAAACTTAAGACACGGAGGGCCAAAATAAATAACTGAGTATAAAAAATCAGGGCAGTGGAGATATACTGTGGGGAGGGTAAAATGTCTGCAAAACTTTGGGTGATGTTTAAAATTGCATAAATAAGCCTCATAGGAACCTTTTGATGAAGATTCTTGGGCTAGATCCAGACATATCAAAGAAGTTGTAAACTCATACAGGGAAATCTGGTAGGAAAAGACGGGACTCCACGGTGCCGTCTGGTGTCACAGTGTTATATTGCATATACAATGCATATAAAACACTTTTTTCTTTGCCAATTGAGCTGAGTCCTCAAAGGGATAAAGAGGCTCACCAAGTCACTGCTACAAAATGAGTAGACTTGGGTCTCTGAAGGAATTCTAATAATAAGCTGCTGTATTGTTCAGGGCAATAGCTTAGGACTGCAGGGCTTCCCTTGAGACCTGAAGTTGCAGCTGGTGCAGAATGCTGCCAGACACATATTACACATATGGATGCCTCAGGGGAACTGATCAGCTACTGGGCTACATTCCAGGTCTTGCTGCTTATGTATAAAAGTTCTTAACAGCTTGGGATCAAGTTATCTGAAAGATGGCCTGCCCCCCATCATCTGGATGTATTTTACGCATGGCACCACACCCTACAGAATGTCACAGGGCAGTTTAGAATGCTTTTAAATAAATAATATAAATATGGAAAGGGTTAGCAGGAAAAGTGTAGGTGAATTGTCCCTACTGCTTTGATCAGTGGCAACTGTCATTAAAGTACTAATAAAAATGCTGTGACAAACTCCAACATTATTTGTGAGATGCTTGTCAGTAAGAGAGTGTGTGTGTCTTAGAAGCTATCAATATTAACATCTGGTACAAAATATAGAAGGGCAATTTATTTGCTCCGTATGTTTATCTGATAGGCCTATCTCTGCTTCATTTCTCCCAGAGTTGTTTGAATAACTTGTTCAAACACTGGCCTTGTGCAAATAGCTGAGCGCACGCAGTGCTTTAGTATATTTTGCCACAATTTGCATTTCATAAATGTTAGTGCTTAATATTCTCATTTATCTTCTTTGAAATTTGAAGAAATGACACTTGCCCACATCATAAATTCCTGAGGCCCAATTCACAGCTAAGCACTGTGCTTGACACCTGCTCCCACAACTTCATCAACAAGCCCTTTTACAAAATTTATCTAGAGTGAGAAAATTTGCTCTTAACCTATGAACACTGGTTGCCCTTACCTGGTAGGTGCAAACCACATTTTTTATTGGGGACTCAGCCAATTTATCATTCATGGAGAATTTCTGGATTAATGGTTTGTAGAAGGGAATTACACTCGAAGTCGATTTAGCTGTTAGGCAAAAAGGCAGGATATAAATTATAATAACGATTACATGTTTTGTATTCTTTTAAGCCCCGAAAGCACCAAAAGGGCAGGTGCATTTAAGTGATTTCTTCCTCTTGGGGAAAGATATCTGGATGAGTATACAAACGAAAGAATAAAGTCAAAATCTAGATAAACCTATTTCTATCACATATATATGAAAGGATTTTTAATATTTACCAAAAAAAAGTCTATGGCGAACGGCCAATAAAATAACCAGCAACCAAGCAATCTTACATGTCTTCACAACACTGAAGTGCAGACAGTGTGTGATATATCACATAAATATATTATAAAATATCTAGCTGTGCTGACTGAATATATATTTCAAATGCTAACTGCACCACAGCAATGAAATACAAAGGTATGGTTGTCCAAAACGTTGAAATCTGGAAGATGCAGACAGTTTGCAACAGATATATTTCAGAAAACGTACTAGACACGTTTCAGTTTATCATCTTCTTCAGTGGCATACTGTGTAGTTGAAAGGCAGACCCCCTCTTTAGATGGCGATGTGCATTACTTCACTTCCTTCAAAATGCAGTAAGCCAGTCCTGCTGCCTTTGGGATTCCTCTTGTTCAGGAGGACCCTAAGGATCTGCCCCCAAGTTCTGCCCTGATAGCATCACACTCTGGTGTGTTTCAGTTGTTCTTTGTCTCCCTGGCTTGCCTCCTTCAGCTCTTGCTCAGCTCCTGGTTCCCCTGCCGACAGCTGCCCTCAGCTCACCCCGACAAGAGATGCTCTGTTCTATCCTGCAGATGAATGTTTACTCGTATCTACAATGGAGTGGCGAGAGGTCAACCATGAGGGCTTCTTAGAAACATCGGTCTGGTTGCTAAAATGCTCCTGTTGTATTGCAGCTGGTGATTACCAGCTATTGGAGTACATGTAGGGGGACAAGGGGAAGAAGATTTTATTTGGTGGACTACTTTTGATAAGAGGATGCAATACCAACTGGATCTTTGTGTGATCTTTATTAGCCTTGATAGTTAGAAACAGAATCTCCATTTACAGAGGCAGCATACCTCTGATAGCTAGCTTCTGAGAACAAAAAGAAGGGATTATGGCAACTTCAAAGCACACCTGATTTCACAGTGTGGAGAGGGATGTAACATGAAGTGTTTTCACTCAGTATCATATTTATTCAAATGTTAAGAATAGGAGAAAATGTTTTACGATAAGCACATTTAACCTAGAGCTTATTTGACTGAAATCTGATGATTAATCTATTTGTGCTCCTTTAATCAGGTTGCAGCCTTAATTTCTTGATGCACAGGGTTCAGTCCAGCTTGGTGACTATCTCCTTCCACCCCATGGGGCAACTTTTAGGACTGCCCACCTGCTACCAGCTGATTGACATGTGGGTGGTTCTGCCCACCTGTCAAAGTTGGCCCATGAGGTGCAGGGTGATAAAGATCAGGATCGCCAGGCCAAAATCAGTTTTCAGTTGATTTCACACTCTCTGTTTTAGGCTACAATCCTCACCCCACTTACCTGGGAATCTGCCCCACTGAATTCAGTAGCACTTACTTCTGAGGAGGCATAGTTAGGATTGCGCTGTTATTTGCTTTGAAGACATTTAGGCATGTCTCAGCAGCACCTAAGGGTAAACGTGTATAAATTGTTCCCACGTTTCATTTTCTGCATGCACAAGTGAGTTGGCGGGACATTCTGGTGTCTTCAGACTGTATTGTGGTTTTGTAAGAAGCTGCTTTGAGGATCTGACCCAGGTAGTTGAAGTGCCAAACATGTGATACATCTTATCTTGGTATCTGTTACTAGGCAGTTACAGATTACATCGACAGTGGCCGCATCAAGTGCCGTAATCGCTATAGTCCTTTGTAGCCATGGATATTCAAACGTCCACCTTTACAGCATGTTCCATAATGTTCAACTCAGCTATCAACAATCTTTTCTGAAAACGTCTATTATTGTAGTCTTTTTGTTAGTTCTTACTGCAGCATCATACAGTTCTTTTTTAAACACAATGCACCAATCTACTTCGGATCTCTTTTTTACTTTCTAAGAGAGAACTTGGTAAATGCACCTATGTAAATATTCAACCCCTCATTTTAAATATGGTACTAAATCATTGAATTATCTGTTTGGAAAAACATGTATTTCTATATAGCAAATTAATCAAGAAACACTAAAATACAATTAAAAATCCCAGTGTAAAACTAGGATGCCTTGACTGTAAAACGTAAGATATCTAAAAAGCTTGGGGCAGATGATTTTTGAGATGTTTAATACTATTTTATGGTAAATGCATAGGCCAGGGGTCAGCAACCTAAGGCCCATGGCCCACAAGCGGCCCACGGGGGTCATTTAACCAGCCCATTAGCTGCCCCCGAACTGGGCAGCCTGCTGGCAAGTCCCCAAGTGCTGCGCTATACCAGTGCAGCACTGTATGGGGACTCGCTTTCGCGGTGCCGGAGATTGTGTCTGCGCATGCGCAGATGCCGGAAAGCACGAAATTGCCGGCCCACTTAGGGATCTCCGCTGGAGTGAACCAGACCTGGCAAGGTAAACGTTGCCGACCCCTGGCATAGGCAAACACAGGATACATATGGCTAATTGTGGAAGGAAATTTTAGGTTGATGAATTAAGACAGGAAAGGACAACACTTGAGATGAACCCTCGCCCCCACAAAATATAATGTTATGTACTGAGTTGAATAGGATCCAAACTGCAGCAGTCTGATTGGTCCTAGAACAATAGGATTCAAAATGCAGCAGTCTGATTGGTCCTAGAACAATAGGATCCAAAATGCAGCAGTCTGATTGGTCCTAGAACAATAGGATTCAGAATGCAGCAGTTTGATTGGTCCTAGAACAATGCAGCAGTATGATTGGTTGGCAGGAACCACCCAATCATGCTCCAGATAGAAGTGAATCCACAACCTGATTGGCTTACAGTAGAATTCCGGAATTAGCCAATCATGTGCAGCCCATTGTGTAAATAATGTATATAAAGCAGATACTGTGAGGGGACTTTCATTCATTCCTCCTCACCACTATGAGCTGAATAAAGAGCATGAAATCACTTTGCGACTCTTGAGTATATTTCATATAAGCTCATATTTTTTGGGGGGGGGACACACGGATATAACTTAACTTTCTCAGTGTGTTGTTGGATAAACATTTTAGGAATTTTGTACTTAACATTGTGTTAAATTTTCTGGTTTTTCATTTATTTTATCTGTATTTTAGCTGGTTGTTTTGATCCTTTTTAGTATTAAGTGACTGACAAATGTAATACGCAATAATAAGCTTTATGTGGTGACCATCAACTTTAATCCCCATTTCCTTTGTATAATTTGCTCAGTTTTTCTGGAAAAATGATGTTTATATATACAGTGGTACCTCAGGTTACATACGCTTCAGGTTACAGACTCCACTAACCCATAAATAGTGCTTCAGGTTAAGAACTTTGCTTCAGGATGAGAACAGAAATCGTGCTCCAGCGGCGCGGCAGCAGCAGGAGGCCCCATTAGCTAAAGTGGTGCTTCAGGTTAAGAACAGTTTCAAGTTAAGTACAGACCTCCGGAACGAATTAAGTACTTAACCCGAGGTACCACTGTACAGACAATCCTCGTTTTGCTTCGGGGTTACATCCCAGATCTCTGAATGCATTGGTGGGGACTGCATAAAGTGATCCACCCTCCCTCTATTCTGCCCTTTTAGAGACGGTTTAGGGTTAGTTCACGGTTCAGTGCCATGCACACTCGTGTGTCAATTGGAGACTTGTAAATTGGTTGTTGTCTGTATTTAAAGGGCCTGGGTGACTAGAAAGGTCTTTACCAGGCACCAAAAATGCCTGAAAGTTGGAGTCAGGTGAACCTCTCTGAGAAGGCTATTCTACATCCAAGGTTTCACTATTGGAAAGGTCCTCACTGGCTACCCACCTCACTGCGTTTGATGGGGACACTTGGCACAGGGTCCCTGAAACAATATCCAGGTTGTGATAGGTACCCTAGGAAATGTAGTGCTTCAGCAAACAGTCATGTTACAAATTCACATATTTGTTTAGAGTAAATCTAAACTTTTGCTTGCCCAAGTTGGGTACATGTTCCTATTTGCCTCTCAGCTTAAGTGGCATAGCTCCTTAAAATCCGATATCATTTTGTCCCCCCGCCACCGTGAAAATGATCTGGAACCTAAACTGTTAATAAATCAAGTCAAGCGAGTGCTGTAATTTAAATGGTGATTCTTCTCTTAGAACAGAATCTTCCTTTGTCTGTAGAAAGCACCATTATCATTGTCAGCCACACTCAGCAAGAAACACATGTTTGAACAACGTTATTGTTTGTAGCTGTTCATTCTTCAGTATGGATTTTTCTTTCAGCTCTCGCTCCTGCTATGTAACCTCATCAATTTGCCCGGAGAAACTGATTTGTAGAAAAGCTGACGCAAGCAGCTCTGCAAAATGTTTTCCTTGGCGGGGATTCATATACATATTGGCTAGCTATACATTGTATTTTCAACATTATTATTTGTTGTTATTTGTATTGAGCTTGCCGACGTTGCCACACGCTGCACAAGGGTCATACGCAGCCCTTCCATACGATAATAGAATGATCTCAACAAGGCTGCAATCCTATCCCCTTACCTGGAAGCAGGCCCCATTGAATTCAGTGGGATTTACTACAGAGTAATTATGGATGTATTTAGTACACAATAAAATTATAACAGCATCTGGGGGAAGACATCGCTCTGTGTTAAATCAAGTGTTATGCCTCTTTCTGCACCTGCCTGATTTGACAGAACCCTGACTCCACAGTATTTATTTAGCTCCAGGCACTAACAGAAATAATGCAAATAGAATAAAATACAATAAAGTCGTGTGGCAGTCAAATACAAACTAAATAAATAAATAAAAACCAAGGCAGATAAAGCAAGCATTAAAAGCAATAAAACAACCAGTTAAATCCAATGTCATGTTGTGGGGCCAGAGGCTTGTCTAGATAAAAATGTCTTTGCTACAATGACTTCTACTCAGATAGGAAAAAAGATATTGATTCCTCTAAACACGTCTACTAAGAAATCCCATTGAGATCAATGGAGATTTCGTTTGGGTAAGTAGTTCTAGGATTGTTGCTGGAGCAAAAGCTTCCCCAGCAATTTTACAGCATTTCCTTGGGAGATCTCTGATGTGCTCATTACCAATTATGCGCTACAACACAGGAAGGACAGCACCCCTTGTTTGAAACGATACTTCCTTGCCCTTCAGTCCCAGGAGTCTCTTGGCCGTGTTGATGCCAAATTTATCTCTCTCAGCAAGCTCAAGGTGCCATGATGGTTAAAAGGATGTTTGAAGCACTCTTGCATTCATATGGAGTTTCAGGACCACTAGCTTTCACCCTAACTTGACACTGCTATCAAACCTACCCGCTTCACAGTGAGAACTATGGCACCTGGAAATGACCTATATGGGCATTGCTGGTTTGTAGACAGACCCATAAGTGAGGCAGGGAATGGAGAGAGTAGAGAGACTGCAGCCATAGAGGTGCCTGAAGGAGGAGTTCACTCACCAGATCTAGGGGACATAAGCTAGAAGAACAAAAGCTGGAATTTGAAGACAGTTGTGATTAGAGCTCAAGTGAAGTTCTCCAACTTTGACTCTAGACAAAGGGTCAGCAACCTTTTTCAGCCGCAGACCGGTCCACTATCCCTCAGACCATGTGATGGGCCAGACTATATTTTGGGGGGTAAAATGAACAAATTCCTATGCCTCACAAATCACCCAGAGATGCATTTTAAATAAAAGGACACATTCTACTCATGTGAAAACATGCTGATTCCTGGACCGTCCGCGGACCGGACTGAGAAGGCGATTGTGCCACATCTGACCCTTGGGCCTTAGGTTGCCTACCCCTGCTCTAGACTTGGAGCATGGAAGTTGTAGTTTCAGAGGAAATCTTCATTTCTTGTTCTTCTATTTATCTCTTTCTCAGTCTTGCTCTGAGTCTTCAGTGTCAGTGCCCATGTCCATTTATTGCTCCTGGATCCAGTCCAGTTAAAATACCGGTAATCAGATTTTAAGCAGCTTTAGTGTTAGTAACTATATGTTGTATTCTGTCACAGAATACTTGCTGATTTGAAAGGGCAGCCCCATTATAGGTTTATTGCTGCTGACTGAATTTGCTCTGTGTATATTTTATAAAGCTACACCTTCTCTTGAGGCTCTCTGGACTGAGGTCTTTTTTTTTTTTTGCCGGTGAGGGGGCATATACTTTCTGTTGCTGCTATTCCACATTCTTTTCTTCCTACTTGTTGCAATTTTAGGAATTTAAGAATTATGTCCCTTGGTCTTTTGCCTGGTTTGGGTTTCAGGTAAAGTGCTCCATGACATTGTTTAAGATCTTCTTTTGTTAATGCGAGATCAGGAATTAATTAATTTTGCCATTTTCATTTTTATTTTAAGTTTGTGTAGTCAATAACCATTCCTTTTTTCCTGCACTGTTAGTGCTCTGGATCATAGCAAGTTGGTACTTGGTAACTGCAGAAGGTTTTAAGGCCTTTTGATGGGTTGGGAGAAAGCTCTAGGTTAATGAGCCATTTTGGTTCAGTGATGTACCCTCCCAAAATATAAATTGTTTAATACTTAGGAGCTAAACAGTCTTCAGTTATTGAACTATTTCAAGGAGTTCAGTCCTGTTAATGCTTATTCTCCCCCCAAAAAATAAAAAATGCAGCCTCTTGTTCCCCACACTTTGTCAATTACAAACCAGGGTTATTGTTTAAATTGGCTGGAATAGAATTTAGTTAGCCAATAAAAGTGTGTTGATGCTGCCTACAGACATGAGACATGAGCCAGCCAAAGTCAAGCAATTTTAACTTTCAGCCCTTTTCTACTTGGGATCAGTTGTAAACCATGGGAATCAATGGGATTTAAAAGTAGGCAATTTGGGCAGGTTGTCCTCAAATTTATTGTGCTTCTTCAACAACCTTCAGTTCAGCAATGCTTGATCTGACTTTAGCTTTCACATCATACTGTTAAGAAACATTAACATCATTTATAAAAACCCTGGCTTCTAAGCAGGCATCACTTTCAGACAAAAACACAGACTCATTTGCAGTTCTGTAACCATATGGGGCAAACTCATAACACCACCCCTTTCAAGGGAAGACTGTTTCCTAGACTGAGCTGTCTGGAATGGCTAACAGCTCTTCTTGGAAACAGGTTAACTAAAAAGTTTAAAAATTAAAAGCATACAAGGCAATTAATAGTTAGCTGCTTACGCATTTGCAAATGTATCTTCCAATACAAGTTTTCTGCTCTAGACTAAAAATGACCCCCATTCAGGCCATCAATATTAGCAATAAGGAGATACGGGTGGCGCTGTGGTCTAAACCACTGAGCCTCTTGGGCTTGCTGATCGGAAGGTCGGTGGTTCGAATATGCGCAATGGGGTGAGCTCTGTCCCAGCTTCTGCCAACCTAGCAGTTTGAAAGCATACCAGTGCAAGTAGATAAATGGGTACTGCTGCAGTGGGAAGGTAAACAGTGTTTCCTAGTGCTCTGGCACTCGTCACAGTGTCCTGTTGCGCCAGAAGCGGTTTAGTCATGCTGGTCACATGACCCAGAAAAGCTGTCTGTGGACAAACGCCAGCTCCCTCAGCATGAAAGCAAAATGAGTGCCGCAACCCCATAGTCACCTTTGACTGGACTTAACTGCCTGGGGTTTCTTTACCTTATTAGCAATAGGAAAGGCAACGTCTGCCTCTTCAGCTTGGTCCCAGAGCAAGGTACACTTATGTGAGTATAACAATTCCTGTAGGCTTCCAGCTTCTTTCTCATAAACTCAGGTTCATTTTATCAACCTAGACAAGTTGGATCTTCCCCCTTACACCCACCCCTCAAATACACAGGGTTGGATTCAACTAACCCAGCACACTAACAGGGGCCAGCGTAGCCTAGCGCAGCAGGGCTTCCTCCCTCCTTCCCCAAATCTGTTCTGGGGATAATCCCCATAACAGCATGCAGGGGAAGGAGGGGGACGGACTGTTCTGTCCGCCAAGCAGACATGCATCGGCTGAGACCTTGAATTCCTCCCACAGAATTCTCCCAGCTAAAACTAACTTATAATTATGGTCAACCTGGGTGCTTTGGGTGTTCAACCCCCCACCCCCACCCCAAACAATTAGAATCATATGAGAAAGAGAGCAGGGCAAAGTCATGCCACCATTGCCCATTTATGCCACCCTGTGTCCATTCGGGGCTGAATGTATGCGGTCAGTAGCCTGCTTTACTTGTATAGGCTCCCTGTACAATATAGAAACTCACAGCTCACGAAGTGAGGATGGGCGGTGAAAGTGCAATGGGGGTGGAACATGGCCAACAACCTTGTTCTCCCCCCTCTCAATGCATGACAGGCAGGATACCTGAAGAGGTCTCCTTTTCTGTAAGAAAGCTATGGAAACAACACTCCTGTTTCCAAAACAACACCAACCATACACTTTCTCCTGGGTGGCTAGTGCTAGTCCTTGTGAATGAAAGCTATGGAAGATGGCCACCAACTTGGATGGCTTCAAAAAAGGACTGGGCAACTTCATGGAGGATAAGGGTATCAATGTCTGCTTGCCATGATGGCTATGCTCTGCCTTCATAGACGGAAGCCATGATGCTTCTGAATGACAGCTGCTGGAAACTGCAGGAGGACAGAGCGCTCTTGTGCTCAGGTCCTGCTTGCAGCTTTCCCTCAGGCATCTGGTTGGCCACTGTGAGATCAGGAGGCTGGACTAGATGGGCCATTGGCCTAATCCAGCAGGGCTCTTCTTATGTTGACAGAAGCGAATACAGTGGTACCTTGGGTTAAGAACTTGATTAGAGCTGGAGGTCCGTTCTTAACCTGAAACTGAGGTACCACTTTAGCTAATGGGGCCTCCCGCTGCCGCCGTGCGATTTCTGTTCTCATCCTGAGGTAAAGTTCTTAACCCGAGGTACTACTTCCGGGTTAGCGGAGTCTGTAACCTGAAGCATCTGTAACCCGAGGTACCACTGTAATCTAGGAGTGCAGAATCTGCCTGGCTCTTACCTTCACTTCTTCAGCCTCTGCTTGTTCTTTTTCTTCTATACAGTGGTGCCTCGCAAGACGAAATTAATTAATTTTTCGTCTTGCAAGTTTTTCGTCTTGCGAAGCACGGTTTCAATTTTTTCAAAAAAATCTTCAAAAACCTCAAAAAAGGCTACCACACCGCGTGCTATGAGTTGCTCCCCGAAGTCAAGTCGCAACTGCACCTCTTCAAGCAATGCACCCTGTATTACTGTAACGGTTTTAAGAAAAAGGAAACAAACTTGCAAGACGTTTCCGTCTTGCGAAGCAAGCCCATAGGGAAATTCGTCTCGTGAAGCAACTCAAAAAACGAAAAACTCTTTCGTCTTGCGAGTTTTTCGTCTTGAGAGGCATTTGTCTTGCGAGGTACCACTGTATACAGTATGTAAATTAAGAAAATATAAAGACAGCCTCCAGTGCATTTTTATGCCAAGGAAGCTCAATCTTTCTTTCCCTCTTTCTCTCTAGTTTCAAAACTGTTAGCCAATTGTGTGGGGAAAACAGCGCATTAAGGGCTCATCTCATCACACCCCAGCCTCACAACTGAATTTCCCATTCAGGGGAATGGGCCAGCCATTAAGGAATATTCACATTTAGTTGTCAAATCTTAAGGTCCAATAAGGCATCACTTTTGGACAAACCCCTGACACTGTATTTCTTACACACAACATTGATCAATGTACTTGGCAGCTGTGGTACCATAGGTTCCATCCTACACCTGGAGGAGCTGGTGGTATTTGTATTTATTTTTTAAGTGCAAAAGAATATGAATTGGCAGCAGATCTATTTTGATTTCTCATGACATGTCAGCAAGAAGCCAAAAATATAAACAGATTCCTGCTGAAATATTCTAAGTATTAGCAACTGCTTGCATTTTTCCATCTCCAAATGACCGTTGTCTAAAAATAAATCTAAATTATCACAATGCCTCCAATCTTTAGTTAAATAGTAACTTTATCTCCTGAGAACATCTCTGTGTGGCTGCTGGCCTCCCTGCCACATGCAGGTTATTTTTAAAAGTCTCACCTTGCATTCAAATTTTAAATATGCAACTTTATAACTTTTTTTAAATAAAAAAACCCTGATCTCTTTAAATGATATTAAGTGCAGAGTACTGTATCCTGTCCTTTAGAAGATGCCAATGTATTACACCTGTTCAACCAATTAAAAGGGATGATTAAATAATTACGGTAAATAAGCAGTGCATTTTCTCCCTTGAAGATTTGTGAAGTGTTTCTATTTGAATAGTTGCTTTCCTTCTTCCCTTAATGCAAATGTTGTCATCTTCAGAAGGCAAAATGAAAAAAAATTGTTTTAAAGTAGTTGCAACATATATACTCAATATATTGTATTGCAATGTTAAGTTACAGCGATGCAGTTTGAATACAGAAAGGCTTGTTTCCATTCTTCCTGGTTTTCTGGAGAGAGAGGAAAGAAAGAAAACTCCTTGGCACGGTTCAACACATTACATGCGCTTACCTTTAAATCTTGTTCAGAACCTGTGAGCACAAAATTAACCACCATATGCAAGATCACATCCCAATATGCCATGGTCAATAATTCTGAATAAGGAGGACTATTCTCCAGTTCTATACTTGCTGATTGAAACCAGGATCTCCCCTTCACCCTTCCTTTGCAACCAAGAGCAGAAATGAAAGACACTACACACCGCAGTCTTTCAAATGCTTTAACATGATTTGTGACTATTGACAAGGTGAGAAAATAAAATCACGGGGAAGCAAAGCGTTCAGGGAATCTCGAATTTGAAGCCAGACATGAGTTCAGTTCAGCCAAGTCTGAGCTGATGCCGGAGGAAGAAGGGGAAACAAGATCCAACTCCCTGAACGGATGGTGATAGCTGGACCCGCCCCCCATCCTTTTAGGCGTCAAAGTTTATCACTGAACAATACAGAAGCAGCAAGGAGATTGAAAAAGGAGCCGTCAAAAGCAAGGTCAGGCGCAGGGAGCCGAAGTCTCGCCAAGAAGAAAGAAAACATTGTTTGAGGCGCGCGAAGGTAATGACGCATTTCCATCTCCCACTTTTGACACCTCCCGACGGGACGGGAGAAGAAAGACCCAGCGCGGATGCCTCTCTTCCTAGAGAAGTGCCTAAGGCACCACCCGCGCCCACCGACGTGGGGCGGGTAGGTGGAGGCACAAAGCCCCGTCGCCGTCTCCCTTCGGTGCAAACCGGTTGACCTGCCCCCTCCTTCCCGCCACCTCCCCCCGCGGTAATGATTAACAGCCCCGCGGGGAGGGCGAAGCGAGGGGATAAAGGGGGCTTGGCTGAGAAAGGGGACAGACAACTCCAGCCGGTCCCGCGCCCGCTTCTCGCCGCCCGTCGACGTCCGTTTCGGCCTCCCCCATGACTCGCGCCGCGACGCCAGGGCTGCTGCTCCTCCTCCTCCTCCTGGCCCGGGTGCTGCTGCTGTGCCGCCCGCTGGCCGGGCACCCCGGGCAGGGAGAGGCCACTTGGTCTCGCTTCGCCCGCCTGCCCTTCGAGGATGAGCTCTTCCTGGACGACACGTTCCCCGACGGCTTCCTGTGGGGGGCGGGCAGCGCGGCGTACCAGGTGGAAGGCGCCTGGAGCCAGGACGGCAAGGGGCCCTCGGTGTGGGACGCCTTCGCGCAGCGCCTCCCCCGGGCCGCCGCCGCCGCCGAGCCGAAGGCGCCGTCGGGGGACGTGGCCAGCGACAGCTACAACCGCGTCGAGCGCGACCTGGAAGCGCTGAGCCTCCTGGGGGTGTCGCACTACCGCTTCTCGCTGCCCTGGGCGCGCCTGCTCCCCAACGGCACGGCGCCCGCCAGCCCCGCCGCCCTGGAGCATTACGCGCGCTTCCTGGCCGGCCTGAGGCAGCGCGGCGTCGAGCCCGTGGTCACCCTCTACCACTGGGATCTGCCCCAGCGCCTTCAGGAGCTCTATGGCGGCTGGCAGAGCCCGGCTCTGGTCGGCTTGTTCCGGGACTACGCCGAGCTCTGCTTCAGGCACTTCGGCGAGCACGTGCGCTTCTGGCTCACCATGGACAACCCTTACCTCGTGGCTTGGCAGGGCTACGCCACGGGCAAGCTGGCCCCCGGCGTGCGGGGAGGGCGGGAGGTGGGCTACCGGGTGGCTCACCACCTCCTCCAGGTAAGGACGGCCAAGGAGAACATGGCTCAGCCGAAGTTCTCCATGAGTTTTGGCCACCGGGGAGAGGGACGTCAGAGAACCATATAGCGTTGGACGGGACCCCCGAGGGTCATCTAAGGCCAGCCCCCTGCAAAGCATCCTTTGCTTTAAAACCTCCAGTGAAGGCACATAACCCGAGGAAAGGCGCCAAGGGAGAGTAGGGCCTCCACTTGTGATCTTTTCCGAGGCAAATGAATGACTGCTGCTGGCTCCTCTTAAGTTAAGAACAGGGGTGGGGAACCGGTGGCCCTCCAGTTCAATGTTGCTGGGCTACAGCGTCTAACAGGTTGAGCTGCAGTTGCCTCATCCCTGGTGTAGAATTTAAAACAGCCTTCCCAAACCTGGTGCCCTCCAGATGTTTTGGGCTATAACGGAATTGTAGGCCAAAACACCTGTGGGTTATTTTTAGTATATGTGCTGCCAAAGCAAGCACAACACCTGTGGGTTATAAGGTTAGGGAAGGCTGATTTAGAGCAAGGGCAGTGCAATCCTAGGCCTGTTTACTCAGAAGCAAGTTCCAGTGTATTCCATGAGTCAGTGTGTGTAAAGGAGTGCAGCCTAAGATTTGCTACAAGCAGCAGACAAGAGTAAGCAAGGCCCAACTTATCAAAACTTAGCACCTATGGAAATATAAAAGGTAGGATACACCCCACTGCCCTCCAGTCACCCAAATATTGGAAAAACACAAAGGAGGAAAATGGTCAAGTAAGTACATCTGGCTCTTGAAGATGACCTTCAAGCCTGTTCCAATCCTGCTGTTCTATGAGACTATAACCATCTCAAATATTATGCTCTGTAGAAAACAATGGGATTTTTAACATTTCAGAATGCTGAGATTTTTTCCTATAGAACAAACACCTCAACTTCTCCAGCATGTGCAGGACAGCTTGTTTGCTTGTCTTATCAGGACCTATTTAACTAGACTTATCCATTGCCCTTCAGGCACCTCTGGCCAAACACACCTTGCTAACTCCTGAATCACTCACTACTTGTGGCAAATCATAATTGGAACAATCCCAGTTTATTACAGAGCCAAACTTGCTAGGGGTGTATTATTGGTGTAAGAGGTTTAACTAGAATGTTTTTATTATTGTCAGTTGCGTTAATCTCCCATCCTTCCCCCAAGGAGCTTAGTGTGGTGTATCCGAGCCATTCCCCCTATTTTAGTATCACAACAACCCTGTGGGGTAGGTTAGGCTAAGAGAGGAAGACTGGCCCAATGTCACACAGTGAGCTTTGTGGCTGAGTGAAGATTTGAACTCTGGGCTTCCCAGTTCCTGTTATAAACATTCCCCTGTCCGCACTGGCTCTATGATTTTAGTGTTACCACATTTAAATGCTTACAATTGCCTGTGAAGGTGAAAGGTGAGGAAGAGCAAATTAAATTCTCCCCACTAAAGTTGCAAGAGCAAAAATAAATGTGTGGGCTTGCAGAAGAATAGTAATGTCAGTCTGTTGCAGATCTTTGCAGTATCCTAAAGAAGTGCAGTACAATGTGATGCATATTTATTCAGATATAAGTTCTATGTTGGATGAGACTTGCTTCCTAGTAAGTGTATTTAGGACTGCAGCCTAATTTATTGTGTCATGAGATTCTGTAGGTGACAGTGCGGTTTATCAAAGGCATAGTTAATAAATATAAACATGGATAAAATTTCATTTCATCCAATATTGCAAGGTGAGATGAAAAGACAAACACACATATCTGAAAGCAGCAGTACAATGCATTACTAGTAGCATTTATTCTATTTGAAAATGAACAAGCAGGAGAACCCACATGAATTGATTATAATATTAACCATGACCAATTCACAAAAGGAAGGTATAATAGTGACAAATTAATGTGTTACAAATACCAAGCCAAGTGCAGTAAAATATGGCCACAGTCACAGTCACAGAATATACATCATCTTAACAGAGACCTGAACATTGAAAATAATGTAGTTGTTATTACCGGATGCACAAAAAGCAATCCAGTAGTCCAAATGTAAATTTCACACTCAAGAGATCCATCACTTAGCTAAGCATTTTTGAATTTAGTGGGACTTGCTCTTAAACAAATATGTACTGGATTGCAGCCATCTATCCCACCCTTCTCCATCTCTACTCAGAAGTAGATCCTAATTTGTTCAGTGGGGCTTAGTCACAGGAAAGTGAGCATTTGATTGCACCCTTACAGCACAGTCCTCTCTGTGTCTACTCAGAAGTTCAATAGGACTTGGTACTCAGGTTAGTGTATATAGGATTACAATGCCTTAGTTTTAAAGACCTGCAGTATTTCTTGATATGATTTAAGGTGAACAAGTTCTTGTATGTGGACTGGGATGAGGGCCAAGAGCACTTTCCCAATCAACATCCCTGCTGGCATCAGAGGTTGGCCTGGCAGTGATCTAAGCTCCTGTGGCACTGAGTTGCTCGTGATACATGCCGTATTAAAACCTGCGCTTGCAGCATCCAAGTCAGATGTGAGTAATTTCTATCAGCATGTCTACCAAAATTGGCACAGCGTGACAGCTTTGAGCACTAGATCATAAGCTTTGTGGTAGATGGGAAGCGATGTAATAATGATGTTGTGACACATGCTGCTCTGTTTTAAGCAAAATTGAGAGGTGCCTCAATTTAGGGTTAGGCACAGAGAAGAATTTTGGATATATATATTTTAAGAGGAAAACTATGTTGGAAATCTTAGGTCTATTGTAAGCCAAGTCCGCTGCTTCTGAATTGCACCTCAGACTGTAATCCCTCTGTGCCAGCCCTTTTAGTTTTCCTCCCTCATTGCTTCCCCAAAATTTGCAAGTTTAGTACTGTAGCCCATATATGCATACAAAAAGTCCCAGGTATAATACCACACATCTCCAGAAAGGGCTAGGAAAGATCTCTGGAAAGTTGTGGCTAGATAAGTCAGAGGTCTAACACTCTAGAATGCTGCTTCCTATGATTCCAAGTAGGAAAAACAGCAGCATCCACCACAGTTCTCAGAATAAAGTTGAGAGCTGTTTCAAAGATACTTTGCTCTGCGTTAAGGGCCCGAATTACTGATTCTGGAAGTATAGCTTAAAAAATTATTCCCAGCTCAGTAATAATAAGATTCCCAGGATTTCCATAATAAAGGAACCTGTGGCTCTTCGGATGTTGGGCTGTCTTTCTCATCCCTGACAACTGGTGATGCTTGCTGGAGCTGATGGCCCATAGAGTCAAACAGCACCTGAATGGCCACAGGTTACCCATCCTTGCTGTAAACAATGCATGTCCAAAAGCCTTCCTTGCAAACACTGGAAGTGCAGGAAGAGCCCATGAATCCCACACGTTATTTCAGCTGCTGCTGTCCCTCCTCTGTGAAACTTGTTAGTTTGGGAAATATGCCAAGTGGAGAGAGAGTCTACCACAGACAAAATAATCTGTTGCCTTTTAAAAATATTGAAATGTCATGTTTTAAAGGTAGATTCAAATTTAAAAAAATTCTGGGAAGAAGATTAATTTTGACTACAGCTATTTTTGCCATCCGTGACAAATAATGGAAAGGCACGTTTTTCAGATCTTTTGCCACTTCCTTTAGCAGTTTTTCATGATTTTCTTGAACTTCTGGTGAAAGATTGGTTTGTAGATATATCCCCAAATATCTAACAGAAATGCTTAGTGCTGATTACCAGTATCTTCCACAAGATTAAAATTGGAACTAATCGGATTTTAAAGATTTTTTTTAAAGACAGAAATTAAACTAATTTAGTTAGGACACTGATTCCTTTGGCTATATTAGTGAAAAAGTAGCATCACCTGCATATAGATAAATCTTCAAGTCCTGTGTGTCTGACCTAAACCCTTTAATTTTGTTCCATGACCTCACTGCAATTGCTGGGGTTGCTACTGCAAATAAGATGGGGCCTGCCATGTCCTTTATGTTAGAGATCATTCTGAAGTCTTCACATTAACTATAATAACTCTTGTTGAAGGAGCCCTCTAAATAGTTTGAATGCAACTCAAAAACTGATCCCCTCTTCTGTGCTGCATTCTATGCTTTCCACATAGTGGTGCCAAGGTTTATCTGAGATTCCACCCTCTTTCAGATATAGGCATAACAAAGCATTTAAGTATTGCTGTTTACCACAAATTGAGGATGCACTTAATGATCCCTCATGAAATTTAGTTGTCATTGTCTGTGGGGCTTCCATCACTAAGTGATATTTATTTCACCTGCCCACTCAGTTCTCATGAACTGAGCTTTGTGAAGACATGTTTTCTCATGCACGGTTTTCTCCTCTGCAACTGGTGAAATGGTTCCAAGTGTGCCATATGTTCCATTATGTGAAAATATAGGTTCACATAAAAAGGTAAAGGTAAAGGGACCCCTGACTATTAGGTCCAGTCGTGACCGACTCTGGGGTTGCGGTGCTCATCTCGCTTTATTGGCCAAGGGAGCCGGCGTATAGCTTCCGGGTCATGTGGCCAGCATGACTAAGCCGCTTCTGGCAAACCAGAGCAGCGCACGGAAATGCCGTTTACCTTCCTGCTGGAGCGGTACCTATTTATCTGCTTGCACTTTGACGTGCTTTCGAACTGCTAGGTTAGCAGGAGCAGGGACCAAGCAACCGGAGCTCACCCCGTCATGGGGATTCGAACCGCCGACCTTCTGATTGACAAGTCCTAGGCTCTGTGGTTTAACCCACAGCGCCACACTCTAAAACCTAGGGGCAAGTAAAGGGAAAGATAGAACATCTTTCTTGACAGCGCTGTTGGGATTGTTCCAGAGCTGGTGTTAAGGGTCAGCATAGTCAAGCATCTGCTGAGGGACCACAACTCAGTGCGGGAGCAACTGGGGAAAGTCTCCTGGACCTGCTTCTCCTCCTCACCATTGCAACCTGGTTGTTCAACCAGCTCTTCTTATTCTGGACCAGAAAAAGGTGGTAGTTGAGCAGTAGATGTTACTTCCTGTTTGCATGTTAGCCGTCTCCCTTGCAAGCAAGCAAGGGGTAACATTAAGTAGGAGTAGCGCAGGGGAAATTGATGATAATGATGAGGAGGTAGACTCTCTGAAGGAAGGGAGCCATGGCTTTTCAGGCTGGTGAGAGACAGATTTCGAAAAGCACATTGCTCCCAGCAGGTTGTGAGTCTGAATGTGTTCATGCTAGTCAATTCATCCTTCTGAGTCAGAGCAGGATTATAAATGGCCGCTTGCCTTTTTGACTGGCTGTTTAAAGAATTGCTCTTGGAGGACCAAATGGGGATGGTATACAAAAGTTGGTTCCTTGCTCCCTTTCATTTTGGCCACAAAATGAGCAATGCAAGCAAATTACGGGCATTGGACTAGTAAAATTGTTTGAACCACTAATTTTTGTGGACCTGTTTGCACCAGAAGTACTTCGTCCAGTTCCAGGCACTGCAGTTTAGGAAATATGTTGACAAATTGGAACACGTCCAGAGGAAAGTGGCAAAGTTTGTCTTGACTTACTGTTATCGTTTGTTATGAGAGAAACAAGCCACAAGCGCTGGTTCACATGTGCCAGCCTCTGCGTGGGAAAGGAATTAATTTTAAGGTGAAGGAAGCCAGCTGATTTTATAAGGTTTGCTCTGTTATAAGAGTTGCACCGTGTTTTGATTGAATGGAGGCCCTAAAGCCACCAAGAGACTTATTACCATCTAGTTGGTAACACAGATATCTGTTAAGACTGAATACATAATTTCATAAAACAGCAAAAATGAGTAAAATAAAAATGGTTCACCGGGGACTTTCTTTCCCATAGGCTCATGCCAAAGTGTGGCATCTTTACAACGATCATTTTCGTCCTGCACAAAGAGGTAAAGTGTCAATTGCCTTAGGCTCTCACTGGATAAGACCTCTACATATGACTGAAAACAGTATTCACGAATGCCAGAAATCTCTTGACTTTGTGCTGGGCTGGTTTGCTAAACCTATATTTATTGATGGAGACTATCCCCAGAGCATGAAGAGTAATCTTTCCTCTGTGCTGCCTGAGTTCACCGAAGCAGAGAAGAAGTTTGTCAGAGGGACAGCCGATTTCTTTGCTCTTTCGTTTGGGGCCACGTTGAGTTTCCATCTCGTGGATACTGGCATGTTATTCCGCCAGCTGGAATCGCTAAGCCTAAGGCCTCTGCTTTACTGGATAAGCAGTGAATATAACAAACCAGAGATCTTCGTTGTGGAGAACAGCTGGTACGTTTCTGGTAACACTAAGACCGATGACTCCAAGTACACGAATTATCTTAAAAATTTCATTATGGACACTCTGAAAGGTAGGCTTGTAGATGGTATTCTTGTCACCATTATTATCCTGGCACAAGTTAAGGGAAACATTATCCTCACATTCATTAAATAAGTTCTGCAGAGGCTAAAACCCAGTGAGTCTTTAAACATTTATCCAGGTGTTCATTACAGAGTGAGGTTCCAAAAGAACGGGATTTGCTTGCCTCTGCTGTTGCCAAGTGCTTTCCAACAAGTTTGGATAATGTTTCTTTGGTTACAGCAAAAAGTTAAGCTGGTTGCTTAATATAACTTCATGATGTTTGTACTCTTGGCTATGAGGCTTGCAGGAGAATCAGGCAGGAGATACCCAATGATTAGTTTTAATGCGTCAGATAGCTGAGTAAATATTTGCTAGATAAGAATATATACCAAATCTCTCTTTCTCTTTCTCTGGTGTGTGTGTGTGCATATATAATTTCTGTAACTCTCTGGCAGTGACCTTAAGAGTCTCGTCTCAGGCTGGAAGAATTCATTCTTCCTGTAATGAAGAAATGAAAATAACTGTTGGGAGTACTTATTCTGCTTTCACAGCTGATTTACAAACTGTGTCTCAGTTACATATGTCCTTATTTATATGAATATGGAAAGGGGCTTGAGCTTTGGTAAATGTATCAGATGGTAGATACAACTTCTCTTTTTAGCAACCAATAGCAACCAAGCTGCACATTCTGGCCCCCATGGGAAATTGGGTATGCTTTATGCCTGTGTTGGTTTTTATTTTAAAACAACTTTGGTGAAAGATGTAAAATAAGTTGGAAAACATTTATCAGCTCAACTTTACATTCACTACAGAGTGTTGCTTGCAACACTTGCTAGTTACTTTGGGATGGTCATTATTTTGAAGTAGAGTAGTATTTTAATTAAGCATGTAAATAATTAAGTAAAAGTTCTGTCTTGCTTTTCTGCTTACCTTGAAAACCCTAAATATCTTGGGTCTAGGTCACCTGAGAGACTTTCTCCTCTCATACCATGCTGCCTGCTCTCTAAGATGCCTGAGAGAGGACAATTTCCATGTCCTGTTTGTGGCTGAGGCATAGCTGTGCAGGATGAGAGAAGAGCCTTCTTGGTGGCTGCACCAATATTCTATAATACCTCTGAATACCTTATATCAGTGCTTTTTTCCTAAAAAAAATGTTTAGGGGTACTCTCATTTTGACTCAAGAAAATCACCATTTTATAGTTCAAATCGGGAAAAATAAATACAGCAAATGGACAAAAGTTGAAAGAACATACTGCACAGCTGACACATTAAACGCTTGCTTCCGTCTGAGACTCAGGAAACACTGGAAAAGGAAATGAGGCTGCCATTGAGGGTAGCAATGGAACTGACGATTCACTGTGCTATTCAACGGCTCTGACCGCACTAGAGAAGAAACTAAATTTTTAATTTTTTTAAGTTTCTTCTCCCGTTAGATTCACAAAATGTTTAGGAGTATGTGTACCCCTACGTCCGCCCCAGAAAAAAGGACTGCCTTATATTCTGAGATCCATTTCCCCTCCTTTCTTACTGTTCCCACTGACCTGTTAAACTTTCCTGTTCTTGAAGCATTTGCCTTGTCAGACATTATTGATAGATTGGGTAGAACTCTATTTTGGAATATTTTTATCTGTTGTGTCGGTTTTTGTGCTGTCGTTTTATTTCTTTAGTGGGATTGTTTTGTTTTTAACTGTAAGCCACCCTTAGGTGATGCAAATGCACTGGAAGGACAGGGTTCAAGTTTCCTAAACAAGTAATGCAATTTCAAAAAATACAACCACGCAAATTATTTATAAAAGCTTTTCTATACCACCCTCTCATAAAACATCAGGGCAGTGTGCAGCAGTACAGAATCATAGAATCATAGAGTTGGAAGAGACCACAAGGGCCATCGAGTCCAACCCCCTGCCAAGCAGGAAATACCATCAGAGCACTCCTGACATATGGTTGTCAAGCCTCTGCTTAAAGACCTCCAAAGAAGGAGACTCCACCACACTCCTTGGCAGCAAATTCCACTGTCGAACAGCTTTTACTGTCAGGAAGTTCTTCCTAATGTTTAGGTGGAATCTTCTTGTAGTTTGGATCCATTGCTCCGTGTCCGCTTCTCTGGAGCAGCAGAAAACAACCTTTCTCCCTCCTCTATATGACATCCTTTTATATATTTGAACATGGCTATCATATCACCCCTTAATCTCCTCTTCTCCAGGCTAAACATGCCCAGCTCCCTTAGCCGTTCCTCATAAGGCATCGTTTCCAGGCCTTTGACCATTTTGGTTGCCCTCCTCTGTACACGTTCCAGTTTGTCAGTGTCCTTCTTGAACTGTGGTGCCCAGAACTGGACACAGTACTCCAGGTGAGGTCTGACCAGAGCAGAATACAGTGGCACTATTACTTCCCTTGATCTAGATGCTATACTCCTATTGATGCAGCCCAGAATTGCATTGGCTTTTTAGCTGCCGCGTCACACTGTTGGCTCATGTCAAGTTTGTGGTCAACCAAGACTCCTAGATCCTTTTCACATGTACTGCTCTCAAGCCAGGTGTCACCCATCTTGTATTTGTGCCTCTCATTTTTTTTTGCCCAAGTGCAATACTCGCGCCTAATGATCCTTCCACTTCTACCCCACTAACCAGGTCATCAACATTGGTTAGGACCAGATCTAAAATGGCTGTTCCTCTTGTTGCTTCTCCCACTTTCTGGACAATGAAGTTGTCTGCAAGGCCAGTGAGGAATCTGTTTGACCTTATGCTCTTGGCTGAGTTTGACATCCAACAAATATCCGGGTAATTGTGAAGTCCCCCATTACTACTATCTCCCTTCCTTTTGCATGCTTGGCCATCTGTTCCAGGAAGGCATCATCTATGTCCTCCGTTTGGCTTGGGGATCTATAGTAAACTCCCACAATGAGGTCACTGTTATTCTTCTCTCCCTTAATTTTGACCCAAATGCTCTCACTTTGGCTTTGAGGTTCTAAATCTTGGATCTCTTCACAGGTATACACATCCCTGACATATAACGCCACTCCTCCTCCTTTCTTGTCTGGTCTGTTTCTCTGAAATAGATTGTATCCCCCCATTATTACATTCAAATCGTGGGACTTATCCCACCAGGTTTCAGTGATGCCTATTATGTCATATTTAGTTTGCTGTACCAAGAGCTCAAGCTCATCTTGTTTATTTCCCATGCTTTGCGCATTAGTGTACAGACATTGAAGTCCATTAATCATCCCCCCGTGTCTCTTATTTAAGGATTTTTCCTCCCACCACTAGGTCTGCGTGCTGTTTGCTCCATTTGGTCTATGACATTTGGATGATCATCTTCATCAATTGATAAACTCCTACCTTCAGGAGCACTGTCTCCCCCCCCACATTAGTCAGTTTAAAGCCCTCCTGATGAGGTTTCTGAGATTTTTGGCAAAAACATTTCTCCCAACCGTTGTGAGGTGCAGCCCATCGCTTGCCAGAAGTCCATCTTCAAGAAACTGCAGTCAAACCGTTCCTGTTTACACCATTTGCGAAGCCAGCTGTTCACTTCCACTATTTTTCCCTCTCTCCCTGGGCCACGTCATTCAACTGGGAGGACAAATGAGATGACAATTTGTGCATTTAATTGCTTCAATTTCCTGCCCAGAGCCTTGTAGTCTCTTTTGATCTTCTGGAGGCTATTGCTTGCAGTGTCATTGGTTCCCACATGAACCAAGAGGAAGGGGTATTTGTCAGTGGGTTTTATGATTCCTTGCAGTCGTTCAGTTACATCTTAGATCTTAGCCCCGGGGAGACAGCACACTTCCCGAGACATCTTGTCAGGCCCACAGATCACTGCTTCTGTTCCCCTCAGTAGGGAATCCCCTATCACCACTACACGCCTCCTCTTAGGTTTGGACGGGGTTCTTCCGTGAGCTGTCCGTTCCAAGGTCGCCTGCACATTCCCTGAGGACTGACTTTGCTGCTCGTCTTCATATACCTGATCGACTGTAATGAGGGAGATCCTCAAATGGAGTCTGCTCTTCGTCTTCCATGCTAGGGAGAGGACCTCAAAGCGATTGTGTATTTCTAAACAATCAGAGCGAACCCTGGGCCTCCTACTTCTTTGAGTCACGTTTCTCCATATATCTGGCTCCTGTGTTGGTGAACTAGCCTCCTTCTCAGGGGAGTCCCCTGTCTCCTCCTTGGTGGAGACGGTGTGCTCTGTTGCTTCCAAGAAGAGCTCCAGCTCTCTAATTCTTTGGAGCGTAGCTACACGTTCCTCCATTAAAATGACTGGGGACTTGAGAAAATTTCAAACAACTGTATGAACAAGTCTTTAAGAGACACCTGAAAGTCAAAAGCAAGGATACCTCCCCAATCTCTGCTGGAAGTGTTGTGCAGCATGGGACTTGATAGAGGCCAGTTGGCCTTCTGAGATGTGGAAACCAACTAAATTATATAAAACAATTAACAGTTTTGTTACACCAGTTTTGTAGAAGAAGTCACAACGAGTAAGTGAAATGACATCCTTTTATGGAGGTACCTGCTCATTTAAAAGTACTGTATTCAAAAGCTTCCAGGCATTTCATTTCCCATCAGAAAAAAAGAATGCCATGGGACCAATTCAGGTGCCCACTGGGACATAGTGGAGGGATCCTTAGGCTATTTAGGCCATATCTGCCTGGCAATATTAACACCGTAGCTTGATAACCACTGAGCAGGATATGTAAGCGGTAGCTTTTTTCTGAACCACAAATCAAGTGCAGTTGTTCAAATGTGTGCACGTGGGGAAGTGAGGTCATCTTATTTTTGTTGTTTTCTCCTCAGCTGTCAGATATGATGGAGTTACTGTCATCGGGTACACGGCTTGGTCTCTCATGGATGGCTTTGAATGGCTCAGGGGCTACAGCGTTCGAAGGGGTCTGTTTTACGTTGACTTTCAAAGTCAGGATAAGAAACTGATGCTAAAGTCTTCAGGAATGTTTTACCAGAAGGTGATAGAGAACAATGGCTTCCTCCCATTACCGGAAGACCAGCCCATAGAAGGGACTTTCCCCTGTGGTTTTGCTTGGGGGGTTACCGAAAGCTTTCTTCAGGTAAGCCAAATGAGAGAGCAAATCACTTCCTCCAGTTTTCCTATAGCGCAAGTGAAATAATAATACTGTCTTTGTTTCGTTCCTAGACATGCGTTCTAATTGTGGCCGTAGGGCCTCCCCTCTGACAAACATCACAGTTTGGGCATGTTTGGGTGCTATATTCTGGGCAGAACTCTCAGTGTGTGGGTGTCTGTGTGTACACATCTTCCCCATTCCATTGTGCCCCCCTGATTTAAAGCAACCACCCCTCACAGATTTGTTCTTTTCAAGGACAGATCAGGCAGAGGTGGTAAGGTAACACAATCAAATGAAAGCATGTTGCAACCTTGTTAGCTCTTACTCCTTCCTTAGAGGTAGGCCATACACACAGGACTTCTGTGGGCTTTCCCAGCCCAGTGAAGGAAAGGGGGAAAAATTCATTGTTCTTCATACTGTGTGTCAATCAATTTTGGCGGCTCGATATTTGTGCTTTGAGCTATTGAACAGTCTTCTATGACATATAGCATAGTAAATTAGAACAATGTCATTAAATATTAAGTTGGTTAAAATAAGCATGTCACTTATTTCTAAGCCGCATCTTTGCTGTGATTTATTTCGGTGTACTTTAGTGCACGGCAGACACATTTCCCATAAATCGTTTGGACGTCACCTTAAAAGTATTCTGAGCTCCCTCTGTTTTTAAAACTGATTGGTTCCTGAAAGATTTATTGCATATCTAAATCATTTGTTGATGCAAACTTTAGATACTCCATAAAGCAGAGATAGCTAACATGGAGATTGCCAGATGTTGACTCTCAGGTCCCATCAGCCTAATTATTATTATTATTATTAGGTTACTTAACTTGTTTGCTTGTGAGTTTACACACTTTGGACAAATTGAATCTGCTTCTCCCTCTCTTTCCAGGTAGATACCACACGGTCCCAGTTCCTTGACCCTAATGTTTATGTTTGGGATGTCCATCATACAAAGAAGCTGATTAAAGTTGATGGAAGGGGTGCTCCAAATCGCAAGCCTCACTGTGTTGATCTTCCGGCTATCAGGCTCCAGATTTCTTTACTTCAGGAAATGCATGTCACACACTTCCATTTTTCGCTGGTGTGGCCTTTGATTCTCCCTCTAGGTAATGAATCTTACGTTAACCACACTCTTCTGTTTTACTATCAGTGTTTTGTCAGCGAATTACTCAGAGTCAATATAACTCCTGTCGTTGCTTTGTGGCAACCCATGGGTGAGAACCAAGGGCTTCCTCTTCCTCTCGCTGAGCATGGAGGATGGGAGAACCGGCAGATCGTGGACACTTTTGTTGAGTATGCCAGGTTCTGCTTTAAAAAACTTGGCCAGTATGTCAAATTTTGGATCACAATGAACGAGCCTAGCGATGACAACTTGACATACAAAGGAGCCCATAACCTGCTGAAGGCCCACGCCAAGGCATGGCGCCTGTACGATAAAACATTCAGGAAGACTCAGAAAGGTAAAATCTCAATCGCCTTCCACGCCATCTGGGTCGAGCCCTTTTCAAAAAACGATTACAGTGCAGCCAGACGAGTTTTGGAGTTTAAGATTGGCTGGCTTGCTGAGCCTATCTTTGGAAGTGGTGACTACCCAGATGTGATGAGGCAGTGGCTTCACCAGAAAAACAGCCTAGGCTCCCATTATTTACACTTGCCTTATTTTTCGGAGGCGGAAAGAAACCTAATACGTGGTTCGTTCGACTTTTTCGCCTTGAGCCACTACACCACGTCTCTCGTAAGCGCCATAAACGAAGACCCCGCCAATTACGACCACCTCCTTGAGGTCCAAAAGCAAAATGACATCACTTGGGTGAAGTCACCTGCCAGAACTCCAGTGGTGCCCTGGGGGTTACGCAAGCTCCTCGCATGGGTCAAGGATAAATATGGCGACATCCCAATCTACATCCTAGCCAGTGGAATTGATGACGGGCAAAAACCGGATCGAGACAAACTGAGAATATATTACATGGAGCGGTATATCAACGAAGCCTTGAAAGGTAAGAGTCCTGCGGAAATGCTTATGTTCCTCAAGACCAACGTTTCTTGGTGTGTTTTCTGGAATGCTGTGTGTGATATGTAATAGCAACTATCAGTGCTTTTTTCTGGATGGCAGACACAGGGGTACGCATACCCCTAAACATTTTGTGAATCTTTGTACGTTTGTCCATTTACTGTATCTATTTCCCCCGATTTGAACTATAAAATGGTGATTTTCTTGAGTCAAAATGAGAGTACCCCTAAGCATACTTTTTTAAAAAAGAAAAAAAAGCACTGGCAACTATTATGTGTATACCCTGCCTTTTCCCCTGACAGGGAAAATAAGAGAAGCTAAAATATAGGGGGTGAAATATTTGTAATAAACGTTAACAGAATTAAAACTGTGTGCTTAATAAAAACATACAGAGAATTACAATAGAAACAGCACCAGCCCTTTCATTAAAAAGCAGTCAGTTCCAAAAAGCCTGTTGGAATTAGGAGGTCTTCACCTGCCAGCTGAAGGACAACAAGGAGGGAGCCAGTCTAACTTCTCTAGAGAGAGAGTTCCAAAGTCTGGGAGCAGGAACTATATGCTTTGAAGATAACTGGAAATCCAGTTTTCAGCAACTGGATGAGGCCGTTGCCTCGTATAAGGGACGGACTAATTAATACATGTTGATACCCAGAACACATGCATAGTACATTGTGTGTGTCCCAAGGCAGTGTTTGGAACTCAGTGCCCTTCTGTCTGCTGTTGCTGAGAAAAAGATGGTTGCATTTCGTTGCCATGAATAGTCACCAAAGGCTTTCCTCCCCCTACCCCCTGTGAAATTAAGCTAGCTTAATAACAAAATAATGAAGGGTAAGAAGTGAGAGCCACTGTGCAGGGCCTGTTCCTTGTGATGAGATAGAGGCTGAAGGTATGCGAATTATTATTGCATTAACTAGATGGTAATGAAATATTTGTGCTGTGTTTTTCTTGGCGTTTCATCTGTTTGTAGTGGATTTTTAATTTCACGAATGTTTGTTTTATTTTGTTGTAAGCTGCTATGGGGTTCAGTTTTAGAGCCAAAAAAAAGCAGGATCCATATGTTCTTATAAATAAACAAACTAATACTTCCATCACAGACGGGTTTCTGTGGTATCGCAGTGTCAGTGGAGGGCAAGGTTACATGCAGTTAAGGCCATCGTTCAGTGCCATAGCGATTGTCGTAGCCTGCCAATAGCTTTTGGATGCAGAAAGTATCAGTTAAGACTCTTGAGTGCTGGAGATCTGCTCCCTGACATAGTAGACAGTACTGGGCTCAACAAGACAATGGCCCCTAAAATTATACAGTGGTACCTCGGGTTACAGTGGTACCTCAGGTTACAGACTCCGCTAACCCAGAAATAGTATCTCAGGTTAAGAACTTTGCTTCAGGATGAGAACAGAAATTGCACTGCAGTGCTGCGGCGGTAGCGGGAGGCCCCATTAGCTAAAGTGGTGCTTCAGGTTAAGAACGGACCTCCAGAACGAATTAAGTTCTTAACCCGAGGTACCACTGTACACCACAGCCACATCAATAGCATACATTTAAAGCACTCATGTGCCCCTTTAACTACCATGGCCTCCCCCCACCCCAAGAATTGGGGCTGGGAATTGTAGCTCTGTGAGGGGGCTCCTTTCAGCTCTGAGCACCCCAACAAACTACGGTTTTTAGGATTGCTTGGGGGAAGCCATGACTCTCAAAGTTGCATGAGAGAGCTTTAAATGTATGTTGTGACGGCTACAGTTGTAGATCAGGGGTGGAGAACCACTGGCATTCAGACCAGGTCTGGCACACAGTGTCTTGGGATCCAACCCACAGTCTTCCTTCTGTTTGTTTGTGGCAATTAAGTTTACGTGTGTGTTTCATTTGCACAAATGGCACCCTTTTCTCTAAAACTTAATTGCCAAGCAGGCAAACTTAATTGTCAAGGAGGGAATGGCAGCTGGGAAGTAAAGGTGGGAGAGAGAGAAGGAGGGAGGGAGAAGGGGGAATGAGAAAAAAGAGAGAAAATGGGGGGGGGGGGGAGAGAAAGAAAGCTTTTTTTAAGGAAAGAGCTGGAAGATGCAGTGGATGGGGTTTGCAAATCAATGTCTGTGTGTGTGCAAATGAATGGGTTTTTATGAGTGTGGATGTGTGTGAGAGAGAGAGAAAGAAAGAGAAGAGCGAGAGAGAGACTAGTGGGCTGTGGAACCACCCAGATACTTTTAAGTGGAATTGGACTGTCGTTTTTAAAGATCGAGATGCCTAGAGTTTATATAACATATACTGGTATGGTGGACCAGCGGTAAAACAAACATGGCACTAATTTGTTTTTCTTTGTCCCCTCTGTGTGTGTGCATTTTGTTTGTATGTGTGCTCTGTTTTGCAGCCTACACCTTGGATAATGTTAACCTCCGTGGCTATTTTGCCTATTCTTTCAGCGATAGGGGTGATCCTAGATCGTATGGACTCTATCGATATACAGTGAATCAATATGAGCCAAAGTCTTCCATGATGCATTATAGACAGATTATTGACAATTACACCTTTCCTGGCTCGGAAACCGCTGGCTTGCTCTGCCTCAAGGAGCTTATTCTGTGCCCAGAATGTGACTCGTTGCAACCCAGAAGATCTTTGCTTGCTTTCATTTCTTTTATATTGTTTTCTTTCATTGTTACTGTATTTCTGATCACTTACTACTCCAAGAAGGTCAATAGAAGGCATGAATACGGCTTTCCTGCAGCTCATTGTCCTTCATATGCATTTCCTGGGGGAGCTCAGAAATAATTATACACCCGACTGTGATTATTGTTGCACCATGAAATCATTCATGCTGCCCAGTGTTGTGGAGCACTAAATGTGAAAATGGATTGTACTCACGAAGCTTGTGTGACTCCTTTCTGTATTAGCACTTTAGGTTAGCAGGCTCCCCCCCCCCAATTTGCTGGTGGTGTAGCCCCCATCCCCTGATCCCCTGAGGGAGAGTCATGGTGAGAATAAGGCTTCATGCATTCAATGCAGGCCTCATTGAACAGACTGAATGTATTTTTCGTTGAGGATAGGGGATGTTCTAACTTGAGTTTAATCATACCTGATATTTTGAAATTTAGCTTTTCTTCTCTGATGGTGAATTTCTAATTCCATCCTAGATAATCCCTGTTTCTTTTAGCTGAAGGACTAAAATTAGTCTGATCATTTGATTCACTTAGACATACGTTGTATTTTGGGTAGATGTGAGTAGGGTTTGCATGTAACACTAAACCATGTTTTGGCATTTATGATAATGTACCCGCCTCCCCCTCCCCACTTTACACTACCCCCCTTTCCTCCAGCAATGAGAAGAGTGGCAGATTCCATTTCGAAACCCTAAACTGTGGTTTAACTTAACTGCTGCTGGTTAAAACAATGGTTTAGCATTATGTCCAAACCAGCGTGGTGGATCGTAAACATTTGACTGCTAAGGCCTTAGAATGAAATTATTTTTTTGTCTAGTCTAAGACTCTTAGGCTCTGGTCATACCAAGGATAGATTCAGCGACTGGCTTTGAGCAGTTTCACTCTTCATCTGAATAATGCCCCCACCTTTGAACATGGAGCTAGTTTTTAAAGATGGATTCTGATGGCAGGAAAATGGCACTCGTATCTGGAATCTGTTTATAGCTTCATGTTGATGTATGGCTATACCATTCCAAATTAATTTAAGGAGATGAGACAAGAGCAAGAGTGAAAACAAGTAAATGCATTTTTTTCTAGAAAGGGGAGAGCTTCATAGCCAAAGCGGAATTGCTAAAGTGAGATGCGATTTTGATATTCTAGTGCTTTGATGTTGATTTATATGTATAAAAGGCAGCAGCTGATGCCATAATACTGCCTGTCCTTTGATTTGCTAGCATTATTGTCACACTAAGGGACTGTGGCCAGTCTGTGTTTTGCTTTACTTGACCTGAAGGGATTGTGTTCTTGTAGGAAAGCAATGCAAATGGTTTCTGGTAGTTGGGGGTGGCTTCACTCAATAAAGGTAAGTGACAGCCAGGAGGATTTAAAAGGTCATAAGTTTTAGACAATAAGAAAAGGTCAGTAACAGAATTGTTTTGGTATTTTCAAGCAACAAATGGGAGTTATATCCTGACTATTTTTGCCCTTGAATTGGGCAGCTATATTAAAGTAAGAAAAATGAAATAGCAGCCATAAATCTCATGGCACGAAGAAACTTATTTTTTTTTCTAGAAACAGATCCAAATAACTGCTGTCTTTTATATTTTCCAAGGAAATGCTTCTACTGTACCTCCCAGTACCCCTTTATGCACTTAGGTTTATTTTCACCTAGCACCCAATTTAAGGCAGCTGTCCCGTAAGTACATTTACTAGGGACAAAGCCCGCTGAACACAGTGGGGTTTACTTGCAAGTAAAGATGCCTATTATTTTGCTGGAAGTGTTCGTATTCTGTCTGTCCGTGATCTCTCAGCATGCATGAGAGGGCATGCCTTCAGCCAAATTTTATTCAGAAGTTCAAGGTTTGAGGCAAAAGGTTGTTTCCAGTGCTGTGCAAAAGGCGTTTGACTGGTGCAGTGGGATTTCCCTTTCCTCTCCCTCTGTGCCCCCCAAAATTTGTTCCAAAGGATCCTCCAGTTTTCTGAAGCAGACTGTGAAGATGCATGGGGAGCTGCAGGGGATAAGAGGAGGCAAAAACCCTTTGTGCAAGTGGAACAACAGTGTTGGATACAACCCAACATTTTCATTACCTTACAAGTTGAAGTTCTCAGACTCTGCATATGGGATTCAGTACTGCATGCTTGAATTTTACTCTGTAGATCACCGCTACAGTTTTCTATTTGGCACATTGTGAGGCAGTGTTTTTCACTGCACAATGAAGTGCTGATTGATTGGTAACACGAATAGTTGCTGTGTCCCTACAGTTTAACATTCTAGGGCTTGGAATGTGGGCCCGGGTGGAAACTGTACATTTAGAGACACCCTAAACCTCTGACACTCACAAGCACAGCCTGATAACTGTTCCAGGAAAGGAAAAAACGGTAAGGGAAGATGTGATTGCTAGACAGTGAAAGATGCATATTCCAATCGCTGCTGAGTTAGCCTAGCAACCACTTGGCATTTTCTCATCACCATAAGAAGGAACTAATTTGTGCATGTCCTCACAATCTCAATGAACACAGAGAGAGGCAGTGGTTTGCAAAGTTACTTCTAGACCCATGACGAAAAAGATGGACAGCCCTCTCATCTTGAGAAGGCATCTTGGGATCGCAGGCTGAGAAAGACACCATTTTGAGTGATGTGATTATTAACGAAAAGATAAACAAATATAAGATAATATGACAAGATTGTATCTAGCTCAAACAGCCATTTATGTGTACATAACTTTTTGAGATTGCAAGGAACTTGCAGTGGGGCTAATTCCTGTGCAGATTTCCATTGTACAGTGGATTTAGCTACTTATGCAGAGCTCTTTGAAATAAAATAATGTATTTACTCAAATCTAATGCTCACCTTTTTTGGCCAAATTACGTTGTGGAAATTAAGGAGTGCATTAGATTCGATGACACATTTACATTCGCCAGAAAATACTTTTTTGGGTTTCAAGGTTCTGAAAATTGAGGTGCGCATTAGATTCGATGGCGCATTAGACTCAAGTAAATACAGTATAGCAATGGCTGATAACATGTAAACATTTTTATGTTGATTAGATACATGAAAAATAAGACATTTTATGCATCAAGATTCCAGGAGTTTGGGCTTGGGTCAGCTGTTTTTCTGAATACTTCAGTGGAATAAGCCCAGCTTGTGGCGCTCAGTGTGCCAGAAAACATTCAGCACACTGGGCTGAGGTGAGCTGGCAGTCAACATCAATTCAAAATACCTGGCCACCATGCAGAAATTCTTTCTCTCTAAAGCAGCTTAAGTTCATTTCAGCTCATTCAATAAAGTTTGTATGAATCAGCCTTTGATGATGATAGTAATAAAAAAAAGTTCAGAAACCACAGTTTCATATGGTGCCTTAGCAGGCAAAATGTATGTGCTGCTTTCAACTAGTCAAAACAGCTTTTGAATAGGAAAAAAAAGACAGCTCTGCCTTGCCACTTATTGCCCATATTAATGTGATCCAGTTCCCTGCCTGTTGCAAATAGCACATTTCCCCCCAATATTTATTTGTAAATTATGAATTTGCACTTTTCTGTGAAGTGCACCCTATAGATATGTGTTAGATGGATGGAGAGTGCAAACAGATTTTATTTTTTATGAAGCACTGTGGATTATTTAATAAAATAAGTGGTATGTAAAGATTAATGGTTTTCTTTTTTGATATTGCAAATCTGCATGCAATGTAGTTGACTCTGTGCACTTTCAAAAACTATGTTATTTCTCAATAAATGTACATTGAATGCTACCTTCTAGAAAACTATTAATGTAACACTTAAAAGTATATTTTTATCCAGAATATTTTTGTGGAATTGATACTTTTTATGGAATGTATGACAATAGATAAGTTAATTGCAAGTTAACAATTGTATGTTGTGTTTATTACCTTGTTTATAAATTGTGCTTTAACAGTTGCCTCTTTTACACAATCAGATTTATTTTCTTTGCACTGTTGCAGTTTGACCATCTTCTCTGGTTCAGCCAGGTGGTATTTCTAGATTTATAACCTTGGATATCTTGAAGTATCGGGTGCTTAGGTTCACTTGTGCTCAGTAGGCTAACCCTGGAATTCTTTGATCTGAGTGGGTTCTCAGGTGTAGGAAGCATATGATAGCACTTTCTGAGGGTGGACAGACCACTGATTTGAGAGACCCAATACTGGCCTCACTTTCCCCACCACCCCAGAAACATCCATGGATTTTGCCCCACAAATGTTATCATTGTTTGCTTACCTCCCATTGAGACGGAAACTGAAAAAAATGAAAAGGAAGGAGGATTTCAAGGGTGCTACTTCTACCTTGCAGGGCTTTTGAAGGCCAGTTCTTTTAGTTATATTAAATTTAACAGCCATCCCTGCCACTAGGCAGAGTGAGGCTGCTGCATCAGGTGACAGGTGCTGGAAAGCAGGAATTGATGGTGAGTGTTGGAGGACAGCTCTGTGTGGCATATAGCCTGCCCTGTATCCTGTAATCTGCCCTGTTGGAGGAACTGGCCCATTAGCAGTTTTGAGGTGAGATTCATCTGTTAGTCTGGTTGGCTTCTGTATGTGGAATGGTGGTGGGTTGTTCCTGTTTCATTTTGTCCTAGCCAGCAAAATATATCGAGACACCTCTATCTGGGACACCCTGTGCGTCAGATGTTTGAGTCCCACTCTGCACAGACAATCTCTTATTTCCCCACATCTCTGTAACATGCAGACCAACTCTTGGTGGCATCCTGCAGATAGATGAATGTGAGGGACGACTATTTGAAACACGTTCTGGAACATGAACTTTGGCACAGACTACTTTACCCCATGCGGCCTTTAGGCTTGTCTTCAGCTATCCTATGAATGAATAATTGGAATTAATAGTTAACTGGAAAGTCAAGAAGATTTTTAGGTTTAAAGGTGAAGGACAATCTCCTGTGGTCTCTCTCTCTCTCTCTCTCTCTCTCTCTCTCTCTCTCTCCCTCTCCTCATCTCAAACCTCTTGAAATGCTTCTGCTTCCCCCTAGCCACATGACTCCACCTATCAGAAAATCTTGCTGTCATTCCTAAAAACCCACAAATATTCATGTAAGGTAAGTTCTATCCATCTTCACCCCTGCAATGTGCCAGCCTCACTTTTACATCTTAAAGGCTGAACCTGAGAGATGTGCACAAGTTTAATGTTGTTAACCAGTAACATTTCTGCAGGGTATGTGACTGGGTATCACCTTTCACAGAGTTCCTGAATATGCTTAGTTATATTACTTTAATACCCTGCCTCATTGGAAATATCGTACTGTTGATTGCTCCTGGCTGATGCAAGAGATCTGTAGTTAGATGCACCCAGGTATAAATTCAGTGTAAGTTTTTAAGGAGTGTGACACACATGAGCCTCAGGAATGTTACATGGCTTGCCTTGGTTTGGGCATCACTTTATTAGTTCTATCCATTTCCAAAGTTCAGAGGCGAACACCAGTCTTTATTTAGCCAAAGCATCACCATCCACACATAAGAGGAAGGTATCAGTGCACTCAAGAGAAACCCAATATTTGCAAAAGTACAGAAAATATTTAGGTGCAGGGGAGCCTAATGGGGAGATGCCAAAACCTGCCCAGTACGGACTAAGCTGCTCATCCATGGAATGCTGATTGACATCCTTGGATTGGAGTATCCTGGGAAAAAGCACAGCAGACTGGAACATTTTGTTACAAGTCCAGCTTGTTTAAGTTCCAGCATCAGCTGGAAATTCTATTTTCTATTTTGACAGGCAGACGATCCATGCCTCACAGAGGCAATTGGTCTGAAACCACTATTCTATCAAGTGTGCACGTGAGTGTGCACATGCATGCATAGGACACAGGAGCCCCACACTTTCAGCTCCTGTAGCTGTCAGCTCCTCTTTCCCAGCATCATCGTCCACTGAGAAGAACGGTGCATCTAATACGGCTTTGTAGCCTTTGGTTACTTATGAGTGAAGGAATTTCTGCATGAGTTTGTGGATAACTAGCTAGGAGCTTTGCAAGCTGCCTACTTTTAATCAAGAAACATGTATAAATTATGTGTTCCACACTCAACAGCCTTAGGGAAATGCTACCTCTGGAAGAACGAATATAAATATAAAACTATACCATCACAATATTTTATGGAAACCTCTAAGGAGCTGGTTTCATTCTACGATGCATCAGTTTCAAATGGGCTTTGTTGTTCTCTGATTCTTGCCATGCCATTGTTCATACATTACGTCCCAGGTCTCACTAAAGGGCTTTTCACAGCTGTATATTTGACTCCCAGCATCTCCTTGCCACGGACTTGTACGAAATGCAGGTGTGAACTTCCTTTTCTGGTGGTGGTTTCTTTGGGTCGAAAATCACCAGGGTTGGGGCTGCTTGAGGCTTCCCTATTCGGCTGAAAGCTGTGTGCGGATGTGTGTGTGCACCATTAGAAAAAGGCAGCTGCCACAGGTGGCAGATGTTTCTGGGACATGGCAGGAAATGGTAGCACGTTGCTGGAGTTGTCTGGTGCATGGCCTGCTGGGAACCCCTTCACCTCACCTGCTGTGCTCAGCCTGCTGTGGGGTAGAAGTTGCTGTCCCATCAGAAGTGTCGAGGTAAGATTTGACTGTCACCCCATCTGGCTTCAGTACATGAAAGAGGTAGGGTACCATCCTGTCCTTTGCCCCTGACAGCAAAACATCTCAGGTCTGTCCTGTCTGGGAGCCAGAAATGTTTGAATTCCCACCCCCCACAGCCTTCCATGTGCCCAGTGCTGCTCAGTGCCCCACACTGGCTGCTTTCTATATTGGGGGAAAGCACGACATCCCACTCCCCTAAGCTTCTGCATCTTAAACACACATAGATTCAGCAGGTGATACTTTTCCTTGCCTGGAGATGCAGTGATGAGAAAGGACTGGCCTCTTAAAATTTCTGCTTCCCACGCCTCTCTTTTTTACAGCCAGCCTGAAAAAGAGTGGGGAATTCCAAGAGCCACACCACACATTGCTGGGACAGGGGATTTCTAGACTAGAGGTTTGTAGATGTTTCAGCAAGCAAAGGAGTCAAACTGAGCAGCACTTACTATTCTTTGACCTTGTACTACCCTGGCTGCTTATAAGGTTACTCCTCCCCAACTTTTCTTGCCTGCCAGATGGAATTTGTTCGTGTCTATGAGTGCAATTTGATATACTGAGAGGAAGATGAGTGCTTTGGGGAAATACGTTAAATATAAGGTAAGTAGATGGGATTATAATAAAGGTTTGTATCCAGACTTGTGGTGCTCAGAGTTTCACTCGTGTTGCTTTGCTGGAAGGGGAGGCAGTTTCTCCTGCTCCCCTTTGACAATTTGCGTTGGAGGGCTTGGGGTCCTCTGCAACAGCCTGGCATGTGGTTCTTCCTCCCTCCTTTCTCCAGTGAGAGTCTTGGCTTGCTTGGATTCCCATTTGCAAATGGGAGGCGACGTCTGGGTCTAACTCTATATAAAAACAAATGCAACAGCAGACACTGGTATATAACCATAACTTGCATATCTCAGCAGGTTTGGAGCCACTGCAGGAAAGGCACATCTTGAAAAGTGATGCAGCTGATCAGATCAAACACTGCACAGCTTCACCAAGAATCCTGAGATTCAGGAGGCAGCAAGATTTGTAAGTAAAAGTGGGGCAGTCCCCTACAGAAGGAGCCTGTTGAGAAAAGTAAAAAATAAATAAATGCGGGGATGTTTTTAAATTAAGGTAAGCCTTAATTTTTCAGTGATGTACCTAGCACACTTAGAATAAAGTGGTAAAAATGGAAACTGTGCGAAGCTTGTGTCTTAAATAATTGGAGGAATATAGCAGGACTCTGTGGTGTATGTTGACAAGTCAAGCAGGGATGGGTGAATCTGTCATTTTTAGTTTCTCTCAGTTTCTTAGTTTTTCCCCAGTCTTAAGTTTAGCTCTCCACTTTTCCACATCAGTTAGCAATTCTTTTTGAGAAAAGTCCTGATGAAAATTCATCAGCATATTATTTTTTTTGAGCATTTCTCCTAACACACACATTTTTGTACGTCATTACATCTAATATAATGGATTGTTGTATGTTATTTTGACTAATACATACATTTACATTGCTACAAACTAGTAGACTGCCTTCTTTTTAGAAGGCAATGCAAAACTTTTCTGAACCAAAACAGCTTCAGAGGATCTCTGCAATCAATATTGCTTTTACTAGATGTAAAGCAAAGTTTATAAGTGATTTTACTTCATTGTTTTGATTCCAGACCTGCCCCTGAAGAAGAATCAAAAAACAAAAACAAAACAGAAAATGAAATTTGTGGACACTGATCAGACAGGGAAGATGTAGATGTAATATAAAGATACATCAAATTAACAGTGATTCTTTTTTTACAGATAGCTGGGGTAGGAATGGAAAAACAAATCAGATAACATTTTAAGAAATACTATATAATAGCATGTTAACAAAAAGTAATACTGATGGTAAATCCAGTCCTTCAGTATATGCCACTTTATTCAGCTCCATGTTATATATTTACAGGTTGTTTTTGACTGATAAAAAGACGTGAGGTAAAAAAAAATTGAGGTATTAATATGAGTACATTAAAAAAAACCACACAATGGCCATATTGACTTAACAATGGCAATATAACACTTAATGAAAACATGGTAGTGTTCTTCT